CTATGTGAGCGGTTTCACACATGTCAAACCAGGAGGAGACCTCATGGCAGACCCAGGATGTACTGGAGAGGTTTTGTCTCTCAGCTGGCTTACGAACGCCTCGGTATCCTCCTGGAAGAACCGGAGGTGGCAGGGGGGGAGAGGAAGGTCTGGGCAGATATGTTTAAGCTGTGCCCCCCCGTGACACGGAAAAGCAATAGAAGTTGGATTCACGGATAGATACGGATCCTTTAGATTTGCTTTTGTATTTTTCTGTGAGGTCAGACAATACGGGTCTTTCTCCACAAAAGGTGAACTTCTTAATATTCATCACTTCTTCCTTCATCTCTAAATGATAAATCAAAAGCCGATCTCTGCAGGTTATTATAACAGCGGGACTCTCGTAACACCCCATCTACACTCAAACCACATCAGGCAGTAAATCAATTATCATAACCCCCTATGAAATATTTCACAGCCTGTATAAACCACTTTATTTTTCACTGCAGTAATGGATAGAGGCCCACACAGGTCAGACAAATGAAAGGCAATAGAAAGAATGTAAAGTCTCTGGTTGACCTTTGTGTCAATACGCGGAAATAAAAGAGAATAAAAAAAGTGCATGAGCTAAGCAAGGATGGAGTGAAGAGAGGAAGAAATCTTGTTTTTGCAGTTACACAGTTTACACGATACATCAGAGAGACAAAGATGGCATGTGAACAATACAGCGGCAGCTCGGGTTACATGACTAAGTCAACAGCGGCTGTTGTTTTCATTAGGTCATGGCCACCAACTCCCTAATGTGATCACTTTGTGTACCAGCAGTCTGCAACTCACAAACAGAACGGGAATGCATGAACGCGAGGAGAGACGCAGAGAGAAATTTTTAGACATACCGAGCAGTCGAAGAGAGTACACAGAAAATATGGAAAAGATAAGTGAAGACACATCCATCCGTCATAAAGTGTTTTTTTGAAATGCGGCAAGATTGTGACAAATTGTAGATTTCATGTGTTTGCATCAGTTGGGTTGCCGTAAATAAGATTTCTGAATGTCATAACATTTACTCTTGGAAAATATAACCTTTAAAGAGCAGATTATTAGGCAGCTTATGTTCCTAAGTTATAATGTTGATCATATTTTTTCAGAGATATTACCCTGTACATGTACAGCAAGGCCTTCACAAGTTGTGACAAATTGAAGATAATACCAAACCTGCATTATTTCTTCAATTTCAGTCAACATTCATTTAAAGGAAAGTGTTTCTGGCACATGTAAAACTAAATCTACTGCGCTACTCATATCTAACTGGTATGAAAACTAATTCCTTGGTGACTACAAAAAAACTGTGCATCAGAAGCTGATGTAATATGAAAGAAAAAGAGAAAGAAGAAGGATGAAGAAAATAAATATGGAAAACAGGAGACGGACAAGGAGGTTGAACTCTTGATGTTGCAAACCACAGGATCCCTCAGCGGAAAACAAAGATAATTGTAAAGTGAAAAATGACCTTTAACAATGCAGAGGAAGCATGCACCGTGCTTTCAGTGCACCCCTGTGACTGGTGTGGTGAGGCAGTACTCGTGATTTGAAAGTAGCATGTTACAGCGAACAGCAACAGCTTAATATTGGTATTTTGAATACATGTGGGTGTTTTTTTGTAGTTTTTTGCTGTTAGATTACTGTGCCACCCTGAGGGTTTGAAAGTGAGGAGATGGCACGACTCAAAATGAATTAAATTTGTAGTACCACTTTATTAGAAGGAATGCATAGGACTGTTATGGCACAACATAATTATTATATGACACCTGTTATGAGCATAGAGGAGGCTTTCTCAATGTTTATGATTCATCGTTAGTCATAAAGTAGCATTCAGCCCTTTATACAATTTGTAATGCCCAGCTGACAAATGTCTTTGCTGTGACAACTTGACAGTACCTTGGGGCTAGTAGGAGTTATGGCTAAGGCTGTATGACAGTGGTTTGGTGACTAGTCCAAACAGTTTCAGAGATGTCATAAGAGAGACTCAACACTTCAAGAATCCAGAGCAGAACTTTATGGGACAATCCCACAATGCCAGAGACATGGTTGTATGACACATGTCCCGCTCCCCTCAAAAAGCCGTTTTTACATCCCAGTGACCATTGAAAATGCACCTTTAGTTCTCGCACCGCATTCAGAGAGGGACCTCGTCCAAAATAAGTGCCCAGTGGTGTTACCAAGATGGCTGAAGCATGGCAAGACTTACCTGGAAGGACTTTCCTTGTACCACCGTGGTTGAGGTAAATATTGATGATAAAATGAAATATTAACGACAACCAATGTCAAACCAACCCCATATGACGTATTAATGTAATCATAGCTGTTTATTAAAAGAGGCCAGTAGCCTCCAGGTCTGAAGAGTAAGACCTTTGCTGAAGTGCTATAAACCTGCATTTTTTCTAACAGCCAATAGAGGGCAGCACCTCTAGTTACAAAAAAGACGTCTAAATGTATACAAGAATATGGGAAAATGTGCCTTCATTTGCTCCACTAGTAAGCATATTCCGGATGAGTTTATGTTCTCAGTCACAAGTGTCAAGTCTCCCTAAATATATACAGCATGATGTTCATTTGGAAAATCAGTCTCATTTAGAGTAAAACAGACAATAAAGCAGAACATGTTTTAGAGTTACTTTGTGATTGACACGTAGCTATTGTATCAGCATGCCAGATGTCCTTGAATTTTCAGTCACATCCACCACTTGGTTGTTACATCTGCTTTCAAAAGAGCAAGATGATGAAATGCCAAAGTTGAGGCTTCAAATAAAAATGGCAGTCCACAAATCAGTAGGTGACATTACCGTTGCTATGTCATTTGTTCATATACAGTCTATGAATGTAATGGATCTCACAGTTCAGTAGTTCCTTCAAGTTCGATCACTGGGCTTACTTTGTGGTGTTTATTATAGGTTTATAGCAGGTTATGTTGTCTTGGTTAATGGTAATTTGCATTTAAAAAATGACACAATTAGCCAAATAATGATAAATCAAATATTCATAGAGAATTCTCCATGTTTATGAAAGTCATGGCAAACTTGTGCACATGCCATTTAAATAAAGCGTTACCGGAATTGCCTCTGCACTCGATCAGGTTCATTAAAAACACTGAGAGACTTTAACAGTAACCGGCAGTCACCTCACACTACATGTTTGTGTAGTCATTAATTATACATGCATGCACACGTCCTCGCACTTCACTTTCATGAGAATGTATGAATGTCAAAGTGCCTGAAGGAAACATTATGGAAACAGTAAGATGCCTTACACACATTTACCGTAGTTCTATTTTTACGAGGACTGTTCCTTTGTTACATTTGCTCCTCACTTTAGCACACTGCACAAATACCAATAACTGGCCAAAATGTCTTCACCTTCACTCGATTAAAATGAAATGACTCTGACAGACCGACAGTCAATTTTGTTCTCACACAGACACCCCATATACAGAAGTTTGCACGGAAACTCAGAATACACACAGGTTGGGTAAAGGGCAACTCCTAAATCCAATCTATATTCTTTGGAAAAACGCTGCGTGTGCATGTGTAGCATTTGTTTCGGGTTTAGAAATCAATAATGCTATACGCCAGATGTTTACGCTGATGAAAATCAATGCCCCTTTTACAGCTTTGATACCAGCTGTAAGGATGTAGGTTAGGAAATGTGAAAAGAATGCATGTATGACGACACAAAAAACGTGATGGTGCCGACGGTTAAGCAATATGTGTGTGTGTGCAGTTTGCTGACAACACTGTTCTATAATTTTTCAATAAAGCTTCTTAAAAGCATTGTCTGTGCACATTAGAAGATTTCAAACTCCATGATCACAGAATGATTGTGTATTTGTGTGAAACTATGGCCTCTGTTTCCATGTGGATACATTGTGATTGAAAGTGGACGACAAGAGGAAATATAACTGGCTACAATTCAATTCTTTGGTTTCTAACCAAACCAATGATTTACACGAAATGATTCTTAATTGCAACCTGCTTGTGCACCGTGCATGCACCAAATGTTACATGTAAAGTGTGCCGCTGCCACCAGCACACCCTCCACATGATATATACTTTGTTTCTTAACTCACAAATCGACTAAATGTGTAAGACTGTGGAATGTATGTCAACCAAAGTAAACACCAGGGAAAAGTGGTGCATAGGACTCACCTTGAAACACTGACTTCTCCACATTCAGCTAATGGAGCAACAGCCAAGAACAAGGACAAGATCATAGGGAGCTATATATATATTTCACTGTTTGGCAGCTGGTTCTGGTTGCACTTTGACCCAGATTTTACCTGAATCTTCCCACATGCGACTACCCAAAGTGTAAAGAAAATTTCCATGCTTACTTTGCATCGCCACACGTCCCCAGATTTGACACTTTTTTAAAACATATTCTTTTAGACGTAAACTTAAAATTGATCTTCACCCCAGGATGTGAAACAAAAAAAACCTCAGCGAAAACACATCCGACAGTTACTGAAACAAGAGGTGCCATAACACGTTAGTAGAAATAATGTCACATGGGACCTACAGCTTTTTAAGTTACTTTTTTTTATTTCCTGCTTCTCACCTCTGACATCACCAATTTCCGTCTTTTCACTTGTTTTCTGTTGAACTTTGCTATTTCTGTCAACTTTGAAATCTTCACACATTTCCTGTCTTACAAAAAAAGCATATGCAGGGTTTTGGGTTTGCCAGAGACAAGTGCTTCGCAGTACAACTATTTGTTCAGTGCTATGTGTTGCTTTCTAGTTATTTAACATCTTCTTCTAAAAGTAAATTAAGTGATTACATTTAAAAAAAAAAAGAAGCTGAAGCTATGCGTCACAAGTCCAATTGTGATTAATTAAAACTTCTTCAGAAAATACTATGAGAACAAGCAGCACAAACAACAGCAGATGAAGCTCAGAATTGGACGCTGCACTCTGTCCTTTTATTTCCCCCTCCGTTCAGCATTTCCACCTTCCACCACAGACTTACCTGCTGCGCACTGCTCCTCATCTGCCCCGTTCTCACAGTCTCTCTCGCCGTCGCATCGCCATGACAACGAAACACATTTGCTGGCAGCGCCTCCGCAATCAAACTTCTCTGGTGGACAAGTCTGTCGGCCTGTTGCGAGAGGGCGGGGGTAAAAGACAGCGAGGGAGAAAGAGCCAGCGAGAGAGGGGAAGACAGGAAGAGGGGGGGGAAATGGATGGAAGAAAAGAAAGAGTCGGGGGGGGACGGGGACGCAAAATGGGACACGGAATAGGGAGGAGGCAAAAGATGGAGAGAGAAGGGACAGCCAGTCAATGAAACAGTTTGATAACTTGGTTATCTTGTAGCTCAAATCGATTCCCCCTCAAAGGCCTGCAATTAAACTAGACACACAGCGACAGTGGAACAAAGAACCAGAAACACTGTGAGGCGAGACACAAAGCCGAGAAAACACACACACAACAAAAAACCAAGAGGCACACAGGAAAAACAAGAAAGACAAGCACCACTTTGTGTGTAAATGTTGCTTTGTATAAACTAGTACTGTTTATCAAATAATAGATAAAATAATAAAAAAAAAGAAAGGTTAGGTCAAGATCCTATCTCCAAATAACTTCTAAATAGACTCATTTTTTTTCCCCAAACTGCTTTCCAATTAGCCTCTAATTCACTTATTTATAGAAACACACATAGCAGCAAACTGTCATGCTGAACCACCTGGAGCTAAGTGGTTTTATATCTTGCCCAAGGATACTTCAACATGTGGGATGAAGAAGTCAGGGATTTAAACATTCTACCTGCAATGACCTCCTGAGCCCAACTGAAATATTAATAAACCCTGAAAATAATCAGTAGCTGAGCTTCAAACACACAGCACATCTAAAGGGATCTTTAGATAGATGGATCACTTCAGATAGATAACCTGATTGTCAAGGACACATGCATAAAAAAACAGTGCACTAGAATGAAATTTCATTGCATAATGCTCTCAGCGACAGTAAACAAAAATACAATCATCGGCCATAAAAGTGCTTTTGAGTGCACACAATAAAAAAAGGTCTGTAATAAATATATATGAACAAATAGATCAATAAAAAATTGGAAGTAATAAAAAATAGTTCAACAAGGCAGCAATTTTGGGTTCGTTTTTTAGGAGTTCAGTAATCTTATGGCCAGGGGGATGAAACTGTTGCAGAATCTGGATGTTCTGCTCTTCACTCTGCGAAACCTCCTGTCGGAGTAGTTACAGGATGTGATGTCACATTGGTTAAAATAGTTGTTTTTGAGGGAAAATCTGTAAAAGTGAATGAAGTGGGGAAAGTACATGTTACAGATTGCCAAGCACACTCCCATATACACACTGTTTGTGAGTGAGAAAGTGGTCCCTGTAGGTAAAAGCCCATTACAGTAGAGACGGCCATTGTTCCTCCACGTGTAACCCATGGGGTTAGTGCAGGGAGGAAAAATACAGCATTCTAATACATCAAATTTACACTGAGTCCCCACAGCAAATCCCTGTCCCTTCTTTCTGCAAACCACGACACGCCCTCGCCCTGCCTCGCTCCTCAATGCCTCCCACACACACACACACACACACACACACACACAAACTCCTGAACACCACAGAGACTCGAGCCCCAGATTATATTACAGTGCTGTGTCAAACTCAACTCCATCAATTATACATATTTGACCACCAGCATGCTTCTTGGCAACAAGCCTGTATTTTTGCGTGTGTTGCAAGCCACAGATCAATAGCCCCTTTGGGATTTGCCCATTCTGGTCTCAATCTCTATTTTATTCATCTCGTATTTCTTTGTTCTCATTCTGATTTTGAACAGCGCTGTATAAATTGCTGCCATTCAAACGCTGCCCCTCGTGGAGGGAGGCTGGGACTTTCAGTGCTGTCGATACTGATTGCCAGAATTTTCTCCAACTGTGCAGTCTTGGTTGCCAGGTTCTATGCTGCTGGAAAAAAAAACAAAAAAAAACTGGCAACTTGCATTTTAGCTTTTCCTGTGGAACTGGATTTAGGTTCAGGGCTTGGATTCCACCCTTCTCCTGTTTTTTTTTTTTTTTTTTTTTTTGCTGGCGTTGATCTTTTGGATGACCACTTCCCCGCTCCCCTCCAGCTCTCTTCCTCCTCCTGAATATCAGGCCCTTGTGTGAGCATCTTTTCAATGTGTCCCCCCTAAATGAGGTTTCCCCTGTCCTTTAAAGAATAAAAGCCTTCTGCAAATCCCCTTTAAGAGCGCGAACGAGAGAGCACCATATCAGCACGGTCTGGTTATTACTGCCAAGGGGACTGAATGGACTGTGTGTACAATAAGTGTGTGTGCATGTGAGAGTGTGTGTCCATGTACTTTTGTCTTTGATGCACAAAATGCAGCTCCTCTGGCCAATGCGATGGTGTGAATACCAGTGGGGATTGTGTGTAGGCATGTTAATGGGCAGATTGTCTCACATCTGGCTCACTGCTCAATCAATTTAAATGTGCATCTTGGAGATACTGGACTATATAGATGATAGTGAATCTCATCCTTTACATTATCTACATTATTCTAAGTGTTAGTATGTATTTGGGTGAACCAGTGCAGTCCACGGGCTACTGTGGGAGACTTCCTTCTACAAATCCTCACACAGAAATACCCCCCCAAGGGCTTCAGTCCACTAAGTGTCTGAGTGACAGCTGGGTTAAAAGGATGTAATTTGTCTGACTGACCATTTCAGGCCCTGGGAGTAGGGAAGGCATAGTCATGGATCAGCTGCCAATCAAATGACTGAATGCAGATGAGCAAGAACAACAGAGAGTTCCACTGACATTGATTATGACAAAACAAATTAGATGATTTTCATCCCGAGGGTAATAATTTTCACTAAATGAAAAGGTCAATTTGAATTTCCACCCATTGTACGCGTTAAATAATAATCTGTAACTAATGAAAAGTCTGTTCAGCTGCTCTCTGTTGGCCTTTAATATAACACAATAGCAGCTCTAACAGTACCAATGCAGTCCACAAAAGCTTTTTCTATTTGCTGCCTCGGCCATTTTGCACACAATTCCCAGAAATAAATAGAAGTGGTAGTACATGGAGTAATTAGGATGGTCAACAACAGCCACCATCTCTGCACAGACAACAACGAACAAACAAAAACACTGCAACTAAGGTAAGTAAAACTAGTACGACTTCACCTCTACATCACGTAAACTGAGCGGAAAAGTACATCTAAAAAAACACCAGCGCGACACAAGCCAATCATTGTGGAATCAAAAGTGTGTATTTTTATCCAGCATGCTGTATGACAATGCCAGCACAGATGGAGACGCTTTTGATAATGCAGTTGCAATTAAGGTATTATTCACAGAGTTTTGAAAGTTCGTGCTGAGCACAAATTTGTCCTCTCTCTTTGTTCTCCTCTCACTAAACGCTGACAGGTGTAACCCACAGCAGAGCAGGGACTGTGGAGCATTGATGGGCTTATTGGCAGTACATTGGGGAAACATCCGTGACTCCAGAGACAGTGCACACTATGTTCATGTTCTAAGCCGAGTGCAATATCCAATTCTAGCACCTTACTCAGAACGGTATGTAAAGGTTGAATCTTTACAAAACCACAAACACAATGACATAAAGTGGTCACAGAGCATTCTGTACACATACCGTGAACACAAATGCACAGTGTCTATGGAGACAACGCACGCACATAAAACTACTTAGAGCTATAAATCTTCTTCTCAGCTGCCAGTCACAGGCCTTTAACTGAATATACTATTCTCAGGACTTTGAACTGAATGAATATTTCAAGAGCTATGAAACTCCTGGGGCACAGAGACAAACACTGGGCTGTTAGCAGCCAACTGGCCTGCTTACTGCCAAGGCTTACAGCAAATAACAGCTGAGGAACTGATACTAGCCATGCTCCAGTGGAGCTGCTTGGTGGTGGGCAGTAAAAGATGGTGGTTCAACACAGCAGCTCCCAGGTGGGTGTATGCATTATCGAAGGAGTATGAGGCTGGGTCAAAACGAGTGTGTGCAGTCAGTGAATACATCCAGGATGCATCAACGTAAAGCACCCTTGGCTATATGATCAGGTCACACCCTGCTCCTCAACTTTAATTTCTGTGACATATACAGGCATATAAACGTCAGAGGATTCCGCACTCAGACTGTAACCTGTTCGCATATTTATTCCACAATCGCTCTGAGTTAGCAGTAATTTTCCAGTCAGAAAGTGAGGCTGCTTTCTCGGTATGAAAATGCCATTAGAAAATAGCAGATGCTGGGGAAAATGCATGTAATCATCATTATAACATGAAAAACAGGGAATACGCTGCCAGCTCAATACTTTATTACCATGCTAATGCCCTTATGTTTGCGTCGAATATATTGGATCCCACAAACATCAATATCTAATGCTATCATTGCAGCAGCTGGAGGTATGCAATAGCTAAATGTGGCAAACAGTTAATTTTTCTGAGCAACCTCAATATCTTCTTGTGCATATTACATTAGCATCTTACATTACCAAGCTTGTGTTGCAGCGTGAAGGTGAACAAGCTCAATTTTCATTTGCTTCAGGAAGCATAGTATAGAGAAAAATATAACATTAATGTAGGACAGAGTTCAAACTTTGCCAGTTTGTTATCATAGCATAGTGCTACCTGTCATGATACTAATTAAATCTTCCAAATGTTACATCATCATTTTATATGGTAATGGAAAAATCTTTTATCCAAAGTTTAACATACATATAAATTCATAAAAAAACAATGTTAATATCCCTGCATATATCTAAGTTGTGGCAACACATCTCTATGTCTTAGTGTACATTTGAAGTTAAAACTGTCCTTCAAAACAGCCATTTTTTCCCCCCATTCTTGTTCTCAGTATTTTGCAAATTGTACGCTGGATGTTAAATAGGTTTTGCTGGTCCTGGGGTCAGAAAACTCATTTGGCACATAGGGTACTATGCAGTCTTTTAATTCAAACAAGTCCACAACCAGAAGTGGTACAGACTTGTTATTCCCCTCACATGCCCTGCCTAAGCGTCTATTATGAGCGGGGTATAGGGGTGGACTGAGCAAGGCGCTGTATGCTAATGAACTTTTGATTAACTACCTTCTTAATTTC